GTAGGTGTGCCTGGGCCACCTGGATCGTGTCACTAGGCCCCAAGCATTTGATTCCATTGTGTGTGAGGTTAATCGGAGTCAGCCTACGGAGGCTCAGATCCTGGTGGTCCTGCATACCAGGAGGCGGTGGTTCTGGTACACAGATCTTCTCTCTTCTCTATGAACAGCCACAGCCCCTCCCTTGTTCCTTGGGGACAGTGCTGGGGTGGGCTGGGCACCAGTGGGTGGATGAGAGAGGCCTGGAGGACAGGCTTGCAGCAGGCCCAGGAGGCTGAGTCTGAAACGGCCTGAATCCACTTGCGCCAATTACAGCTGTAAGAGAACACAGCTCTGATGCCATGAATATGGATGGACCGTCCCCATCTGTCATGGGCCTTCCTCTGGTACAGGTAGCCTGGCTTGTGTGTTCTGTCTCTGTCTCTCTCTCCAAGAGCCAAGCACACATCCCAAGGCTGTGTTGACAACGCTCATTCCTATCTTTAACAGTAACTGTTCAGAGTGTGCCACCTGCTGTGTCTCTCCTCTGCACCGGTCTCACTGACTTCGCGTGGGTGGGAAGCCCAGGGCGAAGCAGCCCTCCCAGCCTGGTCATTGGTCCACCTCTCTCCAAGCAGACAGAAGCCATCAATGGGCCTGTCACGTCTAGTTCCTTCCAGTTACTTCTTGACTCTTCAGGGTATCTCTCCTGTGCAGTGTCCCAGGCTACCCTGCAACATAACTGCCTGGCCCTGCAGCTACCCGGGTGCCTCCATGGTGACCCGGATCCCCACCTGGGCCCCTGGCCTCCACTCCCTCTTCCCATCCATTCATTCTCCAAGCAGCCCTCCACTTGTGTTTCATTTGGTTGAATCCATGTTTGATCTTCATCACACAGGCAATACGGTTTATGCTGGACAAATAAGGCCACACAGAGAAGCAAAAGATGCAAATTAAAATACCCTATCATTCCATCATCTGGAAGAATCTTCTTAGACAACTTTGGCACATTAACGAATCACGGAACATTTTAGTGTCTCACCTTTAAGACATCCCTTTCCTGGTGAATTTTTGTGTTAATAGGTTTTTGTGTCACTAAAGGCATAGGACACAAATAAAATGTCTGCATCATTGGATCATTCAGTACATGAGAACAATATTCGAACAACTAGAAGGGCCACACATTCATGATTACTATTTGACTTACTTCCAAGGCAGGGCATTCTCAATAGTGCAATGATATCTTGGTTGTTAATGGCCCCGTGTGTACAGATCATCTCTTCAACCAATTAGCAACCGTTAGTTTCTGTTTGAATGCTATGAGCAAGACTGTAAAGACCCTCGTTTTCCGGATGAAGACAGAAGACTGAGATGGCTATTTCAGCAAGTAGGTGCCTTTTGAAGGTTTTTAATGCAGATTGACGAATTGCTGTTCTACAAGGTTAAACAATCCATACTCCCATTATCAACCCTCACCCTCGGCCACAGCACAGGAAATCGTCTTTTTAGTTTGGTTGGGGTCGATCACAGTAATGCACGGCGGGGGCTGGGAGTGATAAAGATCCATGTTGAGCGGCTCATAGGTGCCAAGCACGGCCCTCAGGACATGTAGTGATGCATTTAACCCTTGTGAGGTAGGCACCATTAGGACGCCAGGTTTCCAGGGAAGGAAACTGAGGCTCAGACAGGTGAAACCCTTTCCCCGGAGTCACGTAGTCAGTAAGTTGTGGAGCAAGGCTTTGAAAACAGACAGCAACTGGCTCCAGGGTCTGCACTCATAGTCACAACCCAGCTCTCTCCCTCTGCTTTTGATTTAGGAAAAAAGAGACAGACCGCGAGACAGAGACAGCGAGGGACAGAGGGCAGGAGGGAAATCATATAGCACGGGAAGGCGCTCTTTAATTCTGAAAAGTACCATTTCCCTTTGTAACCACTCACCTCACCCTTTACTTCTGCTGCTTCCCCGCAAAGCTCTGAGCGACGCTAAACAACCTTAGAGATGAATGAAATATGGCTCCCCTACCTCCT